TTTTAAACGATGTGGAGTCTGCAAGGGAAACATGCAAGTTATAAGTCAGTTTAATTTACTGAATTAACTTTTTTTAGCTTTTAAATCATGAGTGTTTTTTTATTACACTTGATTCGACATGTACTTTTCAAGTAGTTTCATAAAACACTTCAACTTCATCAGGCTGAAATTTGTAACTTCCTGCCAGGAATGATTTGGTGAAGGAGCTGCCATAACTGTGGCCAGATGGTGGACTGTAAGTGTTTCCAAGGTGTGTATAGGATTTTGTGTTGGATGAGGCGCAGCTGGCAATGCAAAGATCGTGTCCGTCACCAAATGAGGGTCCACGGTCGTGACAACCGTACATGGAATAAGCATTATGGGAAGCATACACTCCTTTTTGAGACAGTTTCACTGGTCGCCAGCCTGGCTTGTTAACCAATGAGAATAAAAAGGCCGATGAACTGTACCGGTACGCACAACTGGAAGCTAATTCAGAGAGAAAAATGAAAAAAATTATTTTGTTCAAGTTTTAGACAGCCATACACACTCGGCTTTTTTCCCGTGGACACATTATTCCTTTTTTTTTATTTTACAAGTGTAAGGACTGTTCTGTGTTATCTGCAAAATCACGTCTAAGTTTTAACCTAGTAACTTTCCAGATTGAGTATCTTGGGATTTTTAATCACACAATTCAATTAATTATGCAGTTATTTCACCTATTTCCAACTGCGATGCTTCAATTATTTTGAATTAATTACCTTTAAGGTAATACCAGAAACTACAAGTCACGTTTATTAGAGCAACGTGTTTAAACACGTGTTGATTCGCACCTAGCCATTTCAGTTGCTCTTCGATGCTTAAACTGAATGCTTTGTTATCTAATTTTGGTGTAAAATAACATAAAATACTTTATCTAAACATGGGGTTTGAACTTTAAACAGTTTTATCGTTCCACTTACAAAACCACCAACTCGAAAACATGAAGGGCTTGTTTGATTACTTGTTTTCTTTTTTTGTTTTCGTTTTTGTTTTTCAAGGTAGAAACCAGATATACTTTCAGATTTTAATTTTAGCGAAGAGAAAAGGCAAGCAAACTTGATCACTCATGCACTTACTCCATGACGTGCTGGTGTATCCACCAGTGATGTATTTTCCCACACGGACAATAGTCACTGTCGGCCCTTTGTTGTCACACAATGAGTGGAAGGTAGTGCTGGCCCAACCATCCACTGATGCTCTCCAACAGCGCTTCCAGTAAGCGGACTGGCTCTGCACAACAGGGCTTAACCAACTGCTCAGGGTTCCAAGGTAATTGTCATCGTTTGCCAATATTTCCGAATAACCTAGGCCTTAAAACAGGAAATAGATATTATTCAGTTTCAGTTTAGTTTATTAGATTCGCCGACAGGTAGGGACACCGCAACAACTTGCGCCAATTACTGCGGGCCCAGTAAACCCACCCATCCCACCCCAGGGGAGGACATCCACCACACAGTAATCTCGTGTGTGGGAAATTAACGTCTCCTACCCCTAACCATTCAGGAGACGGGGCCCACGGTTTATTTCACCTCTGACCCCCTATTTGTTTCATTGCCATAGCATTTTTACATGTGAATGTGTAAAGATGTCGAACATTGACACAACACCAGCAAACAACTAAACATAAGAAAATTCGTTGGTGATGCAGAGCATAAACTACTGAGGTTCCTGAGACAGGAAACTTGTCTACTTCAGCGAAGTTATGTTAATCAATACATTAGGAATGCGATGAATTTTGAACTCAGTTATCACGTACGGAGTACAATTTTCATGTATGCAAAAATAAAATGAAAAACAATCTTCCAAAACTATTTTTTGAGATAGATAAAAGGCTCAGACGAGATTTCAAAATCAGTTCTTTTCCTATCAAAGTTTGATAAGGAAGCCAGAGTTCGGTTAAAATCTCGAGCAGAGTACAAACACCAAAACTTTCATTTCCCTGCTTAACCGACAGTTTCTTGTTAAAGTTAACATATTTCCGTCCCTAAAAATTTTGGGCATAAAGGGCTATAAAAATGTATTTCAAGTTGTTTTTCAACGCATCTCACCTGCATAGCTGTAATAACAATCAAATCCATCTCCAGGGTATCCAGCTTTACACTTGCACTTGTACGAGCCACGTTCATTTGTACACGTGGCCAGCTTGTGACAATAATTCAGATCATGTTGGCATTCATCTAAGTCTAGTAATGAAATAAAATGGAGCAGTAAACACTCTTTTAACAGAGAAGAAACAGAAAAGGTTGAGTTAGGCCCCTCGAACCTAATTGCCCCTTACTGACAACGCGTATTTCCGTACACGGAACTGACTAGGAGTATCGCTGATATCCACGCCTTCCACTCCCTCATAGAAGACCTTCGAAAGTTCTGGCCAGACCTCTCACACCTCCCCGCTAACTATTACACAAAAACGTCAGACTGTACAGCTGAACCTCGTAACAAGAGGGTCAAATTTGAGTCCCACAATTGTTATGGAGAGCGTTATGTTATATAATTCCTAAAAATAGAACTGAAGACGATTTTGGAACGCTTAGTCATGCTAACTCCTTAAGAATTTTTTAATGGAACTTTCTAGAACCCTTAGTCAGCATATTTTGTTATGATGCAATAGTAAGGTAATGATACTAAGAATAGTTGTATTACAGATCCCTAGAATGTTCTACGACGTTCTGTAAAACAATATAAGGGAGTCACGATCGGTTAAAGTCAGACCTTTTTCAGTGAGTTAGTGTTGTCATGAAGGGCCCAGAGGAGCTAGTGTTATTACAGAGCCCGACTACAGAAAGTTGTTGGAGTTATTTACTGTTATTGGAATCGTCACCCGTGTGGAAGGCTACGTTGAAAAAAGTTAAGTGGACATCAATACGTTACATGGATCTTTGAAGACAACCGTGAGTTATCCAGTAGTACACTGAGATTATAGTTTTATAGAGGGCTTTAGGATAAGAAGATAGCTATTGTATTGGTTATTGGTATCGCTCCGTAGTAAGATTATTGCGTCAGTTAATAAAGTGTTGAGTTGGTAGGAGTTGTATCTTTCTGTCGGTTGAGAAAATACCGTAACACAATAAAATTATTGTGTCGTTTGACATGGTTAAGTTGGCTGGTACCAGTTTTCATCTTTTTGATGGTTTGTAACTTTGAAAGAATACTGTTAAGGACTTTAGCCAGAAGGCTCATTTTTTGATTCATTATTGATTAGTTGACTAATTTCAGAATGATGTTAGATAGCCACATAGTAACAATGCCTATCTGTTTTTCTGTATTTCTATTGGTTTTGTAATGGGACCTTTCAGCGTCAGCACGCGCATATAAAAGGCAAGTTTAGCGTCCCTTTAATCAGTTCTTCGTAAGTTTTGAATAGCCTTGGTAAACTTTCGCCCTGGCACAAGCGGGACCGATATGTGAGTACCTTTTTAACTTTGTTTTTTCCTCTCCAGTCTTTTCAGTGTTGGGCGACAATATACAAACAAATATTGCAATGATCTCTATGGATTTAAGATTTAAAGGCCAAA